TTCGTGGCACCAGAATGATTTAAAAATAGGATTATCTTATGCCATCGCGAATAAACGAAAAAATAAATATTAAAATAATTTTTTCTGAATTTTTTACTCGGTACTCTTACATAATTATTGGTGGAAAGGCGTGTGAAAATTGTTCATGGCATCAGAATGATCAAAAAATAGGATTATCTTACGTCATTACGAATAAACGAAAAAATAAATATTAAAATAATTTCCTCCGAATTTTTAACTCGATATTTTTATATTATTATCGGGCTATAGTATAAATTTCCACAGGCAGAGACCCAGTAGGACCTGGTCTAACGCGGAAAAGCGAGGAAAAGCGTGTTAAAAGCGGTCGTGATACCAGAATGATTCAAAAATAGTTTTATTTAATGGCGACGCGAATAAACGCAAAAAATAAATAATAAAATAATTTCTTCCGAATTTTTGACTCGGTGCTCTTGCATTATTATCGGGCCCAAACGCTACAGCACAAATTTCCACAGGTAGAGCCCCAATAGGACCTGGTTCAACGTGGAAAAGTGAGGAAAAGCGTGTTAAAAGCGGTCGTGATACCAGAATGATTCAAAAATAGTTTTATTTAATGGCGACGCGAATAAACGCAAAAAATAAATAATAAAATAATTTCTTCCGAATTTTTGACTCGGTACTCTTGCATTATTATTGGGCCCAAACGCTACAGCACAAATTTTCACAGGCAGAAACCCAATAAGACCTGGTCCAACGCGGAAAAGCGAGGAAAGGCGTGTTAAAAGTGTTCATGGCGCCAGGATGGTAGGAGATCTCATTGGAAGAAGATGGGTGTGACGTAACATCGGCGGGATCGATATGACAATCTTTCGAACCGTGTGTGCATTCTAACCGATGATAAATGCGTCCACCCACCCTTGTCTGTCGCGATACTGGCACCCGTGTACACACGCATGCGACTCGGTCGTATTTCACGTCGCGGAGGAAATGAGTTCGGTCGCATCGGTGCTCGTATTGAATTAAGGGATGAATGGACGAACGGCGGGTGCAAAGGGGTGGAAAAAAGGAGCGCAATGGCGGCGCCCGCGCGAGAATTTTGTTCATCCGGTGGACGTGGCTCGCGAGAAGAACCCAGAATATTTACAGCGGTCGTAAAAAGCCGATACGAGTAACTTACGTTGATGTAGCTTCCTCTGCAGGTGAATCGTGGCGAATTCAGCAGTTGTAAGGTATCGCGTAGGAAGACGTTGCTTTACAGATTGAAACGTGAAATATTCCCGTGTGACGAATGCGCCCATTTGCATCCGAACTTTCGGTCTTTCGTTAAGGTCCGTCGATTTTCTCGTGCAAACCCATTGCGATCGAGCTGGGGATATTTTTATGGTTCTAGGGGAAACGTGTCACGTATGTTCGCTTTCGAGATATTTCTGCCATTTTTGCTCAACTACTGTCGTTTATAGCTTACGGAAGATCGATTGTTCTGGTTGGCATAGGAGAATTCCGATTATCCGATGTGCTTGGGAGTGAAGTAGTATTGGATAATCAACTTGTGTACGTATAAAGTGACGAGTGGATAAAGAATATAATTTAAAGGACAGTCGTGAATGACGTGGTTATATAGTAATTATTTAGTAATAAAAATGAAATTAAATATACATGGGTAAATATAAATTTCGGTCAGATTTCGGATACGAGTAAAGAATATAATTCGAAATACAATTAATAAAAATAAAATAAGATATACAGGTACGTGTAAATTTGAGTCAAGTTTTGGATAGAAGTAAGGAATATAATTCAAAATATTATACAAATCATTAATAAAAATAAAATAAAATATACAGGTGCGTGTCAATTCAAATTAGGTTCTGGACAGGAATAAAGAGTATAAGTCGAAATACAACCGTTTGTTAATAAAAGTAGAAAAAGATATACGGGTTAACACAGGTCTAAGTTAGCTCTGAGCTAGGAATAAAGAATATAATTGAAAATTCAATCGTCTGTTGCTAAAGATAAAATAAAATGGAGAGGTAAATATAGCTCTGGCTTGAAATGTAATATGCGCAAGGGGGAAAGTAAGTAGCAGACTCGCACAATGCAGTGCACTCTCTTAAATCTAAATTAAGACTGACTATAGCAGAATAGTCAGCGATAGTAAGAGATACAGCTCTACACTGGATTCAAATAACCGCTGAATTCTGCCCCTTCGTTTAATAATTTTTTAACATCACTGTCACTGCTGTATTCCCGCAATTCTGTCTTTGTTGTTTACTCGATGTGTATAGGAATGGAACGAGCGTGGCCCTGAAAGAATGTTAAGGGTGTTTGGGAGATAGGACGAAAATGACCTCGTGTAAGAGGATTGATGGTAAGGGATATTTATGACAGAGTCGAGTGGGAGAAACGAGCCAAAGTTTGGGAATGCGTCCTGGGTTTTTGAAGCACCTACTAAGGTTATATAGGGGTACAAGGATACGGGCAGGTCAGTGTTAAAGTTAGAGTCTTAAAGTCAGTAGTCAGTCTGAGAAATAAGTCAGTCTTAAAGTTAGAGGTCAGTTTAAAGCCAGCTGTCAGTCTTAACACTTTGCACTCCTTTAAATCAGTAAAGAAAATAAGTAACTACTTGAATTACTTAAATTCAAAATAGAAATTACAATGTTTGAGAGCTATATTTAATACAATCAGTAAACAAAATTCTTTAAGATAAGTAGCAGTCGAGGAACTATGACGTAAATTTATGAAGTAAATTTCAAACAAAATGCTTAAACAAGTTGGGAGTTATTGGGAACAGAATTGAAAAATAATTCAGAGTGCAGAGGGTTAAAATTAGAGTTCGGTTAAGAGTCAGTCCTGAATATAAAAAAAGACAAGGTGCAAGGTTGGTGCAAGGCTAAAATAAGGATACGAGGATGTGAGCAACTCAGTCTCAGTGATCAGTGGTACAAGTCAGTCAGTTTAATGTCATTTGTCAATTTAAAAGTTGTCAGTTGTCAGTCTAAAAGTTGTCAATTGCGAGTCGTAGAAATCAGTCCTGGAAGCCAGTTGCATAATTAGAAAATTGATTATAAAATGAAAATGAATGAAGGACGGTGAGATTAAAAAATTCCCTAGAAGCACAAAACAAGCAGAAAAATGAATTAACGAATAACCTAGAATTTTTTCAACCTGAAATTCGTATTAACCACTATCAAACATACATGTTCATACACATATTACCTCGCAAAGAAGCACAATCATAAGCAGACCTCGGTATCGACTTGCCAATGAGATAGAAAATTCCCTAGAACCATAAAACAACCAGAAAAATTAACCAGTGGCGTACTAACGCCAATGATATTCGTCATCGGACTCAGTGCGGGATAAAACTTAGAATCGCGTTCGTGAAAACGTTTATATCGTCACAGGAAATTGCGAGGGAACGACACGAGATGTTTCCCCGCACGACCGCAGATTTATTCGTGGCACACGCGCGGCCTCGTTCGAGCAGCCCTGTTTTCTCCCGCGGCCGGCGAAAACGGGTGAAATCGTAGAAGCGACTGTAAAGTAGAAGAAAGACTCGAAGGGAAGGGAAATAATAGAAGAGTGGTAGGTATATACAGCGTAGAATCGGCGTGCTTGGCGTCGGTTTAGCGTGGTTAGACAGCGTGCTAAATCGGCAGTAGAGTACACGGGTATGGAAATTGGCGCGCAAGTGATGTCAGCCGATATATGGTCGGACTCTGTCGCACGGAATTAGCATTGGAAACTGGCACGTTTTGCATGGGCATAATTTATAAAAGACACCGGTCGCAAGGTCGCGATTCGCGTAATCAGGAAATTGATTTTCTTTGCACTATTATTTCAATGGTTCTTGCCAGTCGATGTCCAACGATGAATACAGCAGTCGTGAATTAAGAAACGAGCGAGCTTCCTTGCGAAATGGAATTCGTTTAACCTATTTGCGTCCACGGTATGCACGAGAGCCATTCCTCTGCTTCGTGTGTGTACTTGTTTATTTATTTTCGCGGGATTGAATGTAATTCACGCAAGTAGTTTTCATACAAACCACGGGTTTTTAATTAAAAATTGTAAATATTGTTTGACAATAAAAACACGTTGTTCTTTGGCGTAGCGCTTCGTTTTTAATAATCCTAAACTATCAACTGTCACGCTGTTTTTCTTTTCCGTTGGCAATACTTTAACGCGTGAATGGTGAAAAATTCAAATCTTGCGTGAATTTTGGGACACCCTATACATGGCGAAATAAATTAGGAAGGTGATGAAGGAAAAATTTGATTTTAAGAAGATATCGAAGCACAATTGGTCAAAAATTCGAAGCAATATGAATTCTGTATAGATTATTTAAAAATACTAATTTTCGAGTGCACATATAGGGTGTCCTTCCAATTTGGGTATCTATTTGTTCAATTAGGAAGATAACGAAGCATCAAATTTATTTTAAGAAGATATTGAGAATGAAGAATTCTATGGACAACGTAGGTTATTTAAAAATACTAATTTTCTCGGTGTAATCTGAGTGTAATTTGTAATTATGCATCGATATTGTACCGGGTGTCGCGTTCAAATCGACACAGCGAAAAATCTCATAAACGCGTGATTTAAAAAAGTAAACTAACCTGTTTTGTAGACATATCGTTTTCTTTGACCCAGTAGTGTACGAAATTTGTCTTGTGTCCACTTAAAAGGAGCACTCTGTATATACACGTTTTTAGCAAACAATGTAAAGAGTAGTATAGCCTCTCACGAAGTAATCGAGATTAATTTCTGTTCCTCAGAATAATCACTGAATGTCAAATTTGTAATATTCATTGGGCTATTCGTAGATTTGATATATTAGAAAAGAAATTAGGGATGATGGGTATATTTTTCGTTGTTCCTCAGTATGATGCAGAGTTAGTCGAAATTTAATTGACCCTTCTTTTACCTTGCCACGTGACGTCCACGTTTTGACCATACATCCGGCTAGATTGCCTCGAACATTAAACGAACCACTTAAGCAGCGAGGCGTAATCTCTTTTCAGCCGAGGCAGGGGTCGCAGTAGCGGCGGAAATGAAGCAGCCAGATGAACGCACGGCCGAAGAAAAAATGGCGCTCCTCGGGAAACCGAAGTTGGGCGAGGTGTTCAGGGCGCAGGTACGAATCAAGGAGTCCAAGGAGTTCAAGAACACCGTGGACAAACTGGTGCAGAGGGCCAACGCTTCCATACTGCTCGGTGAGTACCTTGTCTCTCCTCTTTAACCATATGACACACTCATGCACGCGGAATCATCGGTATATACAGCGTGAACGGAATCTGGAATCTGAAAAATCGAAACTAATTAGTATATTAATTAATATACAATCGGAATTTAATTTAGTAAATTTATTTAATATATTAATCGAATCTAATTAGTGTGGGAGTATCGGATGGATCTTCAACTCATCTTCCCTATAAAATCAGAGACTTATATGGGAAAATATTGTTTCGTTTTTATTTTTGATTGTACAATAATTTTGATAATACTCAAGTCGAGACTTATTAGTGTATTAATTAATTTTTAATGGGAATTTAATTTATTAGATTTATTTTTCTGATGGATCTCTAAATAATTTTTTCCCCAGAAGCAGAGACTTATATGAAAATATTTTTGTTTTATTTTATTTTTGCATTTAGAATCACTACTCGGTCGAATATATCGCGATTTTAAGTACACACTCTGTATATTAATACACCTGTGACAGTATATATGTACGCTTTTTCTGGTGAAAGGATTAGGGATGCCTTCATATTTTATCTTACAAATTTAAACTTCCCATCTTGGTTTCATTACCTACATGCCGCAAAACATTATTAGTATTCTTTCAGTAAGTCGTAATTAATTAATAGGAAGCCTAGTAACTTGTATAGTAGCCACATTTTGCCTTGAAAAAATAGTTACTAGTGACTTGTATATCTATCGTCAGAAGACCAGCTACTAGTAATTAGTAACTTATATATATCTAGCCTTGAAAGATTAATAACGAGTCATTTGTATATCTAATCTTAAGAGACTGATAACTAGTAACTAGTGACTTACATATTTAGCCCTGAAGGACTAGTAACAAGTTACTTGTAACTACTGATTTCATATCTAATCATAAAAGACAGGTAACTAGTATCCAGTGATTTGTATGTCTAGCCTTGAAAGGCTAGTAAGTAGTGATTTATATAAATCTTAAAAGACTGGTAACTAGTGTCCAGTAATTTGCATATCTATCCTTAGAAGTCTAGTAACTTCCCAGAAAATCTAGTGATTAGTATATCTAGCCTTGGAAGACTAGTAAACAGTGATTTATATAAATCTTAAAAGACTGGTTACTAGTATCTAGTAATTTATATATATATCCTTAAAAGCCTAGTAACTTACCAGAAAGACTGGTAACTTGTAAAATCTTCAACTTCGATATTCAGACTCCTCCTTTATCTGCCGTCTCACGAGAGATTCCGTTTCCCTGCTATACATATTTTAATTCTTCCGTAACTTGGGAACCTATCTTCTCGTACCACTGCTTTAACGCGGCGTTTCGTACATCGGAATATTTAATAGCCGGATTCTTGTCCCGCCACAGCTACTTCCTAGTCGTCCAGCGCTGCCTCGCTGCGATAGCCTATCTCTTCCTCGGTCTCCGGCATTTTATGATTTTAGCCGTTTCTTGTCGCTTCCCAGCCGCATTATCCGCCGTCATTTCCAAATCCTCCTCGTTGTCCCCCGCTCCGGCATAAATTTCCCCGTGAATGGGGCTTGATTGAAGCTGGAGACAGACGAAGGAACCGTGAACCGTGGCAAATGGCGCTACTCGTGGCTAAGCTGGACGAGAAACAATCAAAGGAGAAAGAAAGTCCGCTCCTACGCGTGTCTTTCCCGCGGCTATCGCGTGGTCTCACCCTTTCACGACACCTCTCTTTGATGCTTGATCCTCTTTCACGGAACTCGCTCCATCCCACTGCCCTTTGACTCTATTTCACTGCCGTTCTTTCTCGCTTACCCGACCGATTAAACAAGACGCGAGGTAGCAGCGTGACAAACGATCACGCAGATGCTCCCTGGCTAATAGAAAGCAATAATGCACGGAGCCTGCCTAGGGAAGAATCACCTGCACGGTCTGCCCGGAAAGCGAGTCGGAGCGTCGTTTTTCGTTAGTTGGATCAGACTACCGTAACCGATCGAGTTATCCACGTCGTCGACGAAAGCGACTTCTACGTAGTCCTAATATTTGCTCAGGCTGCCAGAACAGGCAACAGACGCGAGGAGAACCGCAGTTCGCGACGCTTTGTATTTATCGAACGAAATGAACCCTTCCTGTTTTGGGTATGGGGAGACCTAGCAGTGAGAGGATTGATAATTGTCTTCTTAATGGAGAACGCGTTCCGCGATATAACAACGTATTGTACTTCCACGAGAAGAAGACTCAGGGTGTTTACATCCTCACTCCTGCTGCAGTGATGGTGTTCCTACGCGTCGCGGAGAAATTATTTCCATTGTGGCAGCGTCATTCTCACCTTCGCCACTAGGTGGATGTCAGGTTCGAGGAGGTTCGAGGATTTTCTTGCAAGGCCTCGATGAATTCTATACTTCCTATAAATAGAATTTCCAAACTTTCCAATCGCATACTCATCTAAGGGAGGGCCTGTTATGTAGTCTTACTGATGAGTCCACTAGCAGGTCCAGGACGAATCTCATCCTTTTTCCTTTTGTCCCTTCTAGCACCACCGCCACGTCGAGAATATCCCTGCGATCAAACGACAGCCACAACAACCATGGGGAAAGACCCCCGTGCATGTTTTTAGCTCAAAGATAAATTATTTACTTAATTATACTTACCTTGATTCATCTTAATTCCAATATTACTTCAACAGATATTGCCTATACTCTATTTTCAAAGTTCAAAATTTACGAGAAATAGGAAATATCTTAAACTTCGCGCGTAGCTCTTAGCTTGGTATCGTTTGATACCAATTACCAGGTCTCACCACGTGGAGGTGGCTACGCATCGAGACCCGACATGCGCCCTAGTGGCGCAGCCTGCTGGCGCTATCTGTATCAAAGATAGCCTAATCTAACTTGGAGCGAATTAAATTAAAATGACTCTACTGACACTTTATTAAATTTCGTGTCTTATAAAAGGGGTTTCGGTTCGATATACTAAAATTTAATACAGCGCAATGCTAACATATTTCAACAGACTCTAGAATTTCTAAGTTCCCACAAAATTGGGGAATCGAAACAACGCGAGCAAAGAAAAACTAAGTTAAAATCGCGGCGCGCCCGAACGAGTTCGCGATTATTCGAAAGACCGACTAGCCTACGCGACGTATCCCGTGTACAAGAGCAACTTCGTACCTCAGCAGTCTCCTGATCGGGCCTAACCCACCCTGCCACTGCCGACCTTGCCATGGCTTACTCGATGACCCAAGGCAGCCAACGAACCAACGAAACACCCAGAGGCAATCCGAGGGTCCTATGCGAGGCCTAACAGTCGGAATCACGCGCATGCTCCATACCCCGGCTCTATGCAAACATAACCACATAGCCGCCAAGTGCTAGAGGGGCAGGCAGGCACGCTCTTGCAATGATTCCGACTGCAGGGCCCATCCCCCGGTCGTGTGCACGGATTGGCACCCAGGACGACTAAGGTCGACGGACCCTCGTATTACTCCAGATGCCTCGCCAGTCCGAGGACCACCAGAGATCCCGATGCATGACGAGATTGACAGTGGCAGAAATGAGTGTCGGAGACGAGCCGTGAGAATGACTTACGAGGCGCGGAGTTGTCGAATACTCGAGAGTACGTCGCGTAGGCTAGTCGGTACTTAAGAATGATCGCGATTATCGCGAGGACAATTATGTTCTATTTGGTAAACGGGGATGGCGAATAAAGAATTGATATATTTCGCTCCAAGTTAGGTAGCTTACCTTTGTACAGATAGCGCGCACATGATACTTAGTCTAAGGATCTATCTTATAACTTGTTACAACTAGTTAGATCTAATCTAAATGGCTTGAAAGACATGAAAAGCTGAAACGAAACAGATTAGTAAATGATTAGTACAACACAATAAAACAAATATAAAGAAATATAAACCATAAATATCAATTAAATGAAGCGAACAACCCAACGATGAGATATTAAGAACCTAACCATGAGATATGAACAAACCAACGATGAGACGTAAGAACCCAACGCAGAAATATTCAAATATTATACGAAATATTCGAATTGTCAAATAAAAATAAAATCTGAAAAGTAAAAGATAATTAAAACCAGAGAACAAAATATGTAAACCTGAAATGAAACGGATTAATAAGAAGAGACAAAATAAATGGGGAAGAAATATAAACGAGAAGGATCAACCAAGTGGAAGGAACAACCCAATAATGAGACATAAATAAACCAACGATGAAACAATTCGAATATTATACGAAATATTCGAATTGTCAAATAAAAATAAATAGAGAGGAATAAATAACATTTGAAAAACGAAAAAATAATTAAAAACTGAAAAACAAAAATAATTAAAAGCTGAAATAAAAAAATAATTAATATCTGAAAACAAAATAAAAATTATTAGTAAATTGTTTAATGGGTGAGGGTGAGGGTGGGGGAGCCAACCCCAACCTCACTTCGAATCCCCACCCCTCGCGCACAATGAAATTTTAGATGTTACACTCCTGAACTCAAACCGACAAATGAGTTACGCTGCGTCGCGTCACCCTTTATATAGCCGCCGATCGGCCAAGGCCCCCACCCCAATCGGAAATTTTCGAACTTCGCTGATTTTATTAATTATTATTTTTCCACTGTTATAACTAATAATTTATTAATTTTTTTACTGCTATTATAAATATACGCTGTAAACAATTTGTTAGTAACAATATTAATTTGTTATTAACAATCAGTGTAATTATTTATAAACTTTCTGCAAATTATAGATACAATTTAGCACTTGTACGACATATATTCAAATAACAGTCAATAATTTATTAATTTTTTTCACTTTTATTATAAATTTACGTTGTAAACAATGTAGTATTAACAAGATTAATTTGTTATTAACAATCATTCGAATTATTTATAAACTTTTTGCAAATTATAGATACATTTTAACACTTGTACATTATAAATTAAAGTAATAGTCAATAATTTATTAATTTTTTTCTCTTTTATTATAAATTTACGTTCTGAACAATTTGT